CCCTCCCCCCGCCTCCCTCGCTCCCGGCCCGGCCCGGCGGCGCGCTCACACCCACGGCCAGAGGCGCCCTCACGCCGAGCGCTGCGACGGGGGCGCGCAAGCTGCCGCTGGCCCGGGACCCTGCGGCGTGTGCCCGGAACCGGGCCCGGGCGGGGCCTCCCGCGGCCCGGCCCGCTTTATTGGGTCACCGGCCTCGCCCACCGCCTCGTCGGCCTCTGCCCTTCTTCGCGGGAGCGCCGTTCGCCGCCCCGCGCCCCCTCCCCAGGGCTGCACGTACGTCGTCGGCGATCCGAGGCCCGGCTGAGGCCGAGGGTCCCACCCTCCGGGTGGAGGAAGCGCCGCCTCCCCGCGCGCAGGGGGCCCTCGCGAAGTGGCTGGTAACAAAGCCCGGGGCCCGGCTGCACTGTGGTTGAGTGACAAAGTCATCGTGGTGCAGCCCGCTTTCCCACCCAGGCGCGGTTAAGACTGAAGCACAGGTTATTGCCCCCGTGTCCTGCCCATCCTTCGCTGACAAAGCGGGAAATGCTCCAGCAGGAGCGCAGGCAGGCCTGGGTTCAGATCTCCATTCTGCCATTTAACTTAGGTGTGTAACCCGTCTGTACATGAAAGATGATGCCTGCCCCAGGATTTTTGGGATTAGTAAAAAATGTAAGGAACCCAGAGAGTACTTCCTATCTAGGAGATGCTCGATGAAGGGGGCCTATGATTAGCTTTTCTTTCTGTAGCTTAAATAATCTTGCTAGCACTTGAGGTGTATGCCTGAAATCACTATTACAAATTTTATTATTCCCGATTTTTTTTTAACGTGTGTTAATTGATTAGCTCAAGTGCAAAGTGGAGGCTGAATCCAGGTTTTCTGACTCCGTTTCACACTGCCCTATCTTCAAGACTCTAAATCTATCTGCTACCCCACCTAAGACCTCCAAACTGGTAAGCTCCAGAAGTGGAGAGCAAAACACCCAATTGTTTAATTGATACCACACTGGCAGGTCTGGTTTCTTGGAGAGGAAATTCCCCTTGTCAGCCTGTGCCTTTCCACAACGTGGTCTTAAGGACACTATGCAGTTGACGCTTAAACTCCACAGATTTGAGCTGTATATAGAATTTTTTAAAAAATTATATTGGAAAAATTTTTGGAGATTTGCAACGATTTGAGAAAACTCAAACAGCATAGCCTAGAAATACCAGAAAAAGAAAAAGATATTATTGTAAGCATGCAGTATATAATGCATATTATATACAAGTAAACTATGTTATGGGTAAGGCTTCCAGTCAACAGTAAGCTATAAATAAGTTTGGAGGAGTCAACAGTCTTATGGAGACTTTTCAATGCAGGCCCGTGGGCATCCTATCCCATTGTATTGGTATGTAATGCCACTGAGAATCAGACTAAGGATCAGATCGATTCTCTGAAATCCATAATTCTGTGTAATAAACTGGGTTCTACAGAGCTATTCCAAAAACTTGCCTCTCAGGTATTACAAGATGGGACACATCGTGTGGTATGTATTACATTTCTAAAAGCAACAAAAATCAGACAGTCTAATTTTCTCATGTATAGAATCATTAAAACTGAAGGCCAAACTCATAACCTATTTCTTTCTTTCCCTTGCAGAATGCCCTTATGTGAGTTCAGCTGACACTAATTCTCCAAATGACAGAAATTCACAAACTATCAACAGAAACCAGTCCCAATTGACTCAGTCCATGACAGTCCTGCCCTGCTTATGGATATTTCTCTTGTTGACACTTAACCATTTTAGCAATTTCTGGATAGAGAGGAGGAGGAGAGGATTTTGCTCTTTGCACTAACTGGTGCTCTTGTAACACCACAAAATCTACAGAGTGCCAGCTATACTTAAGTCACTGGGTATACAAAGATGAAGAAAGCTATCTGGACAATCTACCCAGAAGTTAGATTTATAGTTCTCAGTGATGGTGATAAGATAGGGATTGTGTACCAATTGCTAGCCTGGGATATGAAAAGACAAACTCTGCCTTTGGTGGCTAGGCCTCCGTAAGCTTTATCTCACTATCCTCTGGGAAGGCAGCAAAGGAGGAGGGTCTGTGTAACGTTGGTGTTCTTCAAGAACTACGCATTTATAATCCTGCCTGCTTTACATGTTACTACAGGTCCTTTCAGGCACTATCATCTTTTTTTTTTTTTTTCTAATTTAAAAAAAAAATTTTTTTTTCAACGTTTATTTATTTTTGGGACAGAGAGAGACAGAGCATGAATGGGGGAGGGGCAGAGAGAGAGGGAGACACAGAATCGGAAACAGGCTCCAGGCTCTGAGCCATCAGCCCAGAGCCCGACGCGGGGCTCGAACTCACGGAGCGCGAGATCGTGACCTGGCTGAAGTCGGACGCTTAACCGACTGCGCCACCCAGGCGCCCCAGGCACTATCATCTTTAGACATTTCAGTGAAGGTTTTCTTATTCACAGTTCAGCACATGTTTTTTACATTTGATTTTTCTCTCCTTTCTTAAAGTCAATGGTTTTTAAACCAGCATTTATAAAATTCACTCTGTTCCCTCCTTATAAAAAAAATGATATTTAAACAAAGAATAGCACTCATTTTTCTCTATACCCTTACCCTGGTGTCACCTATAATGCAGTCTGTGGTTTCTGGAAGCTGTATGTTGTTTAGTGGTCAGAGCACAACATAGGGTATAAATTCTGAACCTGTTTCACCACTGAAATCTGTAAAATAGAGGGAATTGTCACAAGTCAATTTTATTTATTTATTTTATGTAATCTCTATACCCAACATGGGGCTAGAACTCACAACCCCGAGGTCAAGAGCCGTGTGTTCCCCGGACTGAGCCAGCCAGGCACCCCACAAGTCAATTTGTTAAAAAGTATCATCCAACTATGTGGCTACGAAGGCCTGAATTTTTCAAAGTCTTTCAAACTTCCATGAGTCTTTCAAACTCATGAAAACTTCCATGAGTTGCCAAGAAGCCTTGGAAATCGATGTATTTGGCTCTTCAAAACCAAACAAATTTCATGGGGAAAAGATTGCCAATAAAAAACCCTACCTGGGGCGCCCGAGTGGCTCCGTCTGTTAAGCGTCCGACTTTGGCTCAGGTCATTATCTAGCAGTTGGTGAATTCGAGCCCCGCATCAGGCTCTGCGCTGACACTCAGAGCCTGGAGCCTGCTTTGGATTCTGTGTCTCCCTCTCTCTCTGTCCCTCCCCCACTCATACTCTGTCTCTCTCTCTCTCTCAAAAATAAATAAACATCTAAAAAACATTAAAAAAAAACCTACCTGGCATTGCTTAATGCTATTCCATTTATTAATTTTTGTATTGGTAATCGAACTGTTTTCTTTTTTCTTTGGAATTATCATTTCTGTGGTCATTCTCGAAGCTGAAAATAGAGAAAAGGCAGATCTATCAGTTATTGTTTTGAATAATAAAAAATCTGTTTGAAAGTGGAAAAATACAAGAATGTGCTTTTTAAACAGATTTTTAACATTCATTTTTATTCATCTCTGTGTTTTTTGGAGCCAGGTTGGTGAGAGATGTCCCTCTACAGACTGCCATTCCCAAGTAAACAGCACAAACATTTTCCACTTTCAAAAAAAATAATTGCCAGTCTCCTACCAAAAGCCTTCTTTCCGTATTTTGGTACATTGTATGAAGGTGAATATTTGTGTAAAATTTCTCTTTTGTTTCCTTGCCTCTCCTGGCCCCCTTTAAAGCTCCGTGTCAAGGTGACATTCCAAAAGGTGAAATCTTAGCCTTTCCTAGATCTTCATAGTTTGGTTTTGTCTTTCAAAGACATTGGCTGGCTTTTTACTCACATCAGCTAACGATGTTTTCTCAGACCATCCTAAAAAAGAAAGAATAGAGGGGAAAACAGCTACAGAACTGAGCCCCATCCAAGTCACCCCTGTTCAGGCCATTCTTTCTCTGTTTATAAGAGTTGAAGGCTGCCCGTAGAATGTGGCAGAACGTAAGCTCTGTCCCACAGTCAGCCTCTGCTGCAAGTTTCTTACCATCGGCTTGTTCTGAGCAGAATAGAGCACCCTGTTAGAACCACCACTGTAAACCAAGTATAAAGGAAAACAAACGCCCTGTTTCTTATCCACCATGTGAGGTGCTCTGCTGTTTTCCGCATTAGCAGATCCAAAAGGATTCTCCACTGACAGTGCTGTAGTTATTCCAGCTGCGGTATGCTAAGGCACCCTCTACGGTTGGTTTCACAAAGTTTAACTTTAGTGTCAAAACAGAGGTGAAAGTGACAAGCAATAAATCCATTAAAACAGCAGTGTTAATTTTCTCTGTGCCTTTCTCTTAAAACGCAGAAAACGTTAGTTGCAATTCAAAGCAAGGGGGAAGAGCCTACCCCCATACAGTATGGGGGGCTGACGAAATGTTTATTATTTTAAATCTGGGTGGAGGAGTCAAATGGAACCGGGAAGAGAACATAGGTAAACCACATATTGAAACCCAGATAAACTCAGCGATTAAACCATACCCTGATTCTAAGGTCACTTCATGGTAATGCTGCCCGGTGGTTCTAGGGTTCAGAAGAAATTGCTTCCGTTCTCATTTCACGTCTGTGTAATTCTTTGTAACCAAATTGCTTGTGTTCCTGGTCTTTGATTCCTTCATCTGATAAAAAATAAATTAAAAAATTAGCACAATGACACAATACAATTTATGCACATGATAGCTAATACATTTTTTAACTTTTGATTTTGAAATAATTACAGATTTACAGGAAGTGGCAAAGAACGTACAGGGAGGTACTATGTACCTTCCCCCCACTTCCCCCAGTGGTAATATAGTACATTTGGAAACATTTTTGAGATATACGTGTCAGGCATTATACTGAGTGCTTTTTTTTTTTCTTGAAGTTTATTTATTCATTTTGTAAGTGAGAGGCAGAGAGAGAGGGAGAATCCCAAGCAGGCTTGGTGCCAGCATAAAGCCCAACTCAGGCCTCTATCTCACGAACCATGAGATCATGACCTGAGCTGAGATCAAGAGTCAGTTGCTTAACGAACTGAGCCACCCCGGCGCCCTGATGCTGAGTGTTTTTATGTACTTCCTGATTTAATCCTTAAAACAATCTAATGAAGTAGGTATTGATATTACCATTTTTAAAGTAATAGAAACCAAAGCTCAAAGAGGTTAGGTAATTTGTCAAAAGTCAGATCACAAATGGAGCTAGAATTCAAACATTGGAATCCCCATTCTAACAGCATTTTCTATATATCATCATGCTCATGACTTTTCCATCAAAACTGTTCCTCAGCCAATTTCTCTGGCATCAGGGAAGCCTCCGTCCTTTTCCGTGTACAGTCTTGCCAACTAGGCCATCACCATTCCCTGCTGGTTTAAGCACTGAAACTAAGATCACCTTTTCACTCTTTTCTCACATAACATCCTGACCAAAGTATTAACCACTTCACAACCATATTAGCAACTTTCTAACTAGGCTTTTTCAATTTACTCTGACCAAGGATGCAAAAATTTTCTTTCTAATATTTCGCAGCATCTTCCCAGTAACTAGACTTGTTGTGGCGATCAGTTTGCAATGTGTACAAATGTCTGATCACTGTGTTGTACACCTGAAACTGATATAATATTGTATATCAATTACCTTAATTAAAAAAACTATATAGGGGCGCCTGGGTGGCTCGGTCGGTTAAGCGTCCGACTTCGGCTCTGGTCATGATCTCGCTGCCCGTGAGTTCGAGCCCCGCATCGGGCTCTGTGCTGACTGCTCAGAGCCTGGAGCCCATTTCGGATTCTGTGTCTCCCTCTCTCTGACCCTCCCTGTTCATGCTCTGTCTCTCCCTGTCTCAAATAAATAAAACGTTAAAAAAAATTTAAAAAAAAATATATAGTCTTTATACCAAATGCCCTTTGCTTCATTAGCTACCATTTACCACCATTTAACTCTACTGTTTTAAGCGAAGTTAACCTGGGTTAAGACAGTCTTGAACTCAGGTGCCAAGTCATTTCTCCTTCGAACTATGTTCTTGTTTGTTTGTTTTTTGTTTGTTTTTGTTGTTGCTGTTGGGAAGAGAGGGGGAGAGAGAGAGATTAAATCTCTTTGTGACATTTCTTCTTTTTGATTTTTCCACTTATAAAAATACATGTATAAAAATCCAAAACAATAGAAAGAAAAAATGAGAATTGCCGAAAATCTCCCAATTCAGATATTACACTACAGAACATTAGTTTTTGTTTACTACTTTTTAAAAAAATTTTGTTAATGTTTATTTTTGAGAGAGAGAGAGAGAGAGAGACAGAGCATGAGTGGGGAGGGGCAGAGAGAAAGGGAGACACAGAATCTGAAGCAGGCTCCAGGTTCTGAGCTGTCAGCACAGAGCCCGACGCGGGGCCCGAACCCACGGACTGTGAGATCATGACCTGAGCCGAAGTTGGACACTCAACCAACTGAGCCACCCAGGTATCCCCTTTTACCTCCTTTTTTAAGCTTTCAAGATCCTACATAAAAAATTTTAAACACCTTTATCAAGGTATAAATTACATACTATAAAATTGACCCATGAAAGCGTACAGTTCAATTGTTTTGAGAATATTCATAGAGTTGTACTACCATCACCACATCTAGTTTGAGAACTTGTCACCCTCAAAAGAAACATACCCATCAATAGTCACTCTCTATTACTCCCCCCACCTACCCCGCCCTAGGAAAGCACTAATCTATTTCTGTCTGGATGGATTTACCTGTTCTGGATGTTCTATATAAATGGATTCATGAGATATGTGGTCTTTTGTGACTGGCTTCTTTCACTGAGCATAATGTTTTCAAGTTTCATCTATGTTGTAGCATATATCGGTATTCCATCCTTTTTTATGAATGAATAATATCTTATTATAAAGATATACAATTTTAATTGTCCATTCATTAGTTGATGCACATTGGGTTATTTCTACCTTTTAGCTATTATGAGTAATGCTGCTATAAACATTTATGTACAAGTTTTTGTATAGATTTATGATTTCAGTTCATTTGGATATATACCTAGGATTGGAATTGCTGGATCACATGATAACTTTCTCTTTAGTATCTTGAATTTCCAACTGCTGTCCAAAGCAGCCACACCATTTTATAGTCTCATCAGTAATGTTTGAGAGTTCCAATTTCTCCATGTTCTCCTACGTATAATGTGCCTCTTCCAAAGTAAAACTGTCATTATTGATAAATGATGTGATCGTATATGTGGAAAATATAAGAATCCACAAATAAACTATTAAGAAGTAAATTTAGCAAAGTCACTGGGCACAAGGTCTATTCTACATGTGTCAGTGCCCAATAATTATATATAGAATTTAAAATTTTAGTACCATTTACAACAGCATTTAAAAAGTCAAATCTTAGGGACACCTGGGTGGCTCAGTCAGTTAAGTGTCCCTCACTTGATTTCGGTTCAGGTAATGATGTAAAGGTTGTGAGATCAGGCTGCATACCCAGCGCAGAACCTGCTTGGGATTCCCTCCTTCTCCCTCTGTCCCTCCCCAGCTCACGCAGGCTTGCTCTCTCTCTCTGTCAAAAAAAAAAAGTCAGATCTTAGAAATGAATCTAATGAAAGAGATGCAGGACTATTACATACAAAACTAAAAAAACATTATTAAGGGAAATCTATTAAGTTATTAGGTAAAATGTAAGGCTACATTAAGGCCATGGATTAGAAAACTCAATTTTGTAAAGATGTCAATTGCATTAGATTCAATTCATTCCCAGTCAAAATCTGAGTAGTGTGTGTGTGAGTGTGTGTGTGTGTGTGCGCGTGTGTGTATCAACAGTCTGATTTATAATGTCTATGTGGAAATGCAAAGGGCCAAGATGAGAATAGCCAATAATTTTGAAGGATAACAATGAAAGGAGAGACACCTCCTTTACTGTATATCCAGACGTATATTAAAGCTACAAAAATGAAGCGTGTGTAGTGTTGGGTGGACATAACAAATAGACCATTAAAATAAAGAGTCCAAACACAGCCCCACGCATGTCTGGATGCCTGATTTACGACAGCAGCAGCAATGTCGAGTAGTAAGAGAAGGACAAAAGTAACACAGTGGGGTTGTAATGGAAAGCTGATGCAGAGTCAATGGGAGGGTCATGTGGGGGCAAAAAAAAAATGAAGCTTGACCCCTACCTCACTATATACACAAAAACCAATTCCAGAGGGACTGAGATACAAATATGAAAGGTAAAACAATAAAGCTTGAAAAGATCTCGAAAAAGTATCTTTTTGGCCTTGGGATAGGGGATGATTACTTAAACAGGCCCAATCACATTGGCCATGAGAGAAAAAGATAAATTGGATTCTCTTAGAAGTTCTGTTATACATTTAAAATAAAGGAGGGGGTGGGGGTGCCTGGGTGGCTCAGTTGGTTAAGCTTCCAACTCTTGATTTCTGCCCAGGTCATGATCTCACGGTTCACGAGTACCTTGTATTGGGCTCTTCGCTGATGGTGCAGAGCCTGCCTTGTGACTCTCTCTCTCTCTCTCTGTCCCCACCCCTGCCCCTTCAGCACTCTCTCCCTCAAAATAAATAAACTTAAGGGGCGCCTGGGTGGCGCAGTCGGTTAAGCATCCGACTTCAGCCAGGTCACGATCTCGCCGTCCGTGAGTTCGAGCCCCGCGTCAGGCTCTGGGCTGATGGCTCGGAGCCTGGAGCCTGTTTCCGATTCTGTGTCTCCCTCTCTCTCTGCCCCTCCCCCGTTCATGCTCTGTCTCTCTCTGTCCCAAAAATAAATAAAAACGTTGAAAAAATAAATAAATAAATAAATAAATAAATAAATAAATAAACTTAAAAAAAAAAAAGTTCTCTTATCCAAAGACACTATTAGGAGAGGGAAAACACATGCTATAAAGTAGAAGATAGTATAAATACAAAGATATACAAAGAAAGTAAGATAAACAAAGAGTTACAAAGAACTACACAAATCAATAAGGAAAGGACAATCAATGGGAACATGGGCAATAGATATGGACATCATAAAAGAGTATATCCACATGGCTAAGAAACATATGAAAAAGCACTTAATATAATTTTTTTGTCAGGGAAATATAAATTAAAACCACCCACCAGAATAATGAAAAGCTTGAAAGGTAATACCAAATATTGTTGAGGATGTGGAGTCTGTTAATTTTCTATTGATGCTTTAACAAACTACCATAAATGCAGTGACTTAAAGCAATTCGAATTTATTATCTTACAGTTCTGTGGGTCTGAGGTCTGACACAAGTCTCACTGAGCTATATCAAGGTTTCATTTAACAGGGCTGCATTCCTTTCTAGAGGCTCTAGAGGCAAATTTGTTTCCTTGCCTTTTTTAGCTTCTGGAAACTTCCATGTTTCTTGGCTCTTGTCCCTTTACCTTCACCTTCATAGCCAGCAACATTACTGTGCATTGACCATCCCTCCATGGTCACATCCCCTCTGACTCTCTTCTTCCTCTCTCTCCCACATTTAAGGACTCATGGGATGACATTGGGCCCACCTGTATAATCCAGGATAATCCCTCTGTGTCAAGATTTTTAATTTAATCACAACTGCAAAGTCCCTTTTGCCACGTAAGGTAACGTACTCACAGGTTCTGGGAAGTAGGATGTGGACCTCTTTGCAGGCGGAGCATTATTCTGTCTACCACATAGAGCAACACAACTTTCATACGATGCCCTTGGGAATGTAAATGAGTTCAACCACTTTAGAAAATATTTGGCAATATTTACTAAAGCCAAACACAGGCAGAACCTATGATCCAGCAATTCCACTCCAAAAGGTAGGTACACATTATGCACACCATTATTTGTAAAAACTTCCAAACTAGAAAAAAAAATCCAAGTGTCCTTTAACATTCAGGACGGATACTTAAAATTGTGGTCTATTCATATCGTGGAATATTATATAGCAGCAAAAATAAATGAGCAACTGTCACATATTGCAAAATGAATGACTCTCATGGGTGTAGCATTAACTGATAGAAGCCAGATGCTGAAGAATACATTCTGTATGATTCCATCTGCTTGAAATTTAAAAACAGGCAAAACTAATCTTTGGTGTCAGAAGTCAGTTTAGAGGTTAATGGGGGGGGGTGTTGCGGGGGAGGGGACGGGTGGAGATGATAGAAAGAGGACTTGAGCAGGGCTTCTGGGAGTTAGAAGCCTTCCATCTCTTAACTTGAGTGAAGGTTGCGCATGTGTGAACTCTGCGATAATTTTTCATGCTGTATCTTATGATCTGAGCATTTTTTTTCTGATTGCATGTTTTACTTTTATTTTATAAAGTTTTATTAAGCATGCAAAGTGAATATACTTAACTAAATATATACTCAATATACGTAATATGTGTGAATATGCTTAACTAATACATTACTAAGTTGTACATTTCAAAATGGTTAAGATGATAAATTTAGGGGCTGCTGGTTGGCTCAGTAGAGCATACGACCCTTGATCTTGGGGTTGTAAGTTCGAGCCCCATGCTGGGTGTAGAGATTGCTTAGAAAAAAAAATCTTAAAAAAATAATTACTAAGGAAATAAATGGTCATCTTCCAGAAAATCTGTGTGACAAAATCTAATCCAGCACTCAAAGAATTTCAAACACTGAATTTTTCTTTATCATCTTTAGGGAGAAATGAAGGGGAGGAGAAGGGGGATGGGGAGGGGAATGGCAGGGAGAGGAGGAGGAGGAAGAGGGGGCAGAGGAGGAGGAGGAAATGTTTACCTAAGTCAATTTGATTATGTGGTAATTATTTTGCTTTATCAAGCAAAGCGTCCTTCTAGGAGCAAGGTAAGCTTTGCCTCTCCCCAGGCAAATTAAAGAAGCCAGTATATACCCTTTGCTTTAGTCCCACCTATCTTTTCTCTCTCATCCTTCCATTTCTTCCCTCCCCTGTTAAGTCTTCGACCCTGCTTTCCTAGGCTGCAGTTTGTGGTTCTCAGTCTCCTTCCTGCACCTCTGAGCCCCTGGTGCCTAAAGCACTGGTGAAAGTCCCCAGCCCTGAACTTGAGAGAACAGGACATCTGAAGCCAATCACGGGACGGTCCCTCCATCCCCACAGTGACTCGCACACACCCAGGCAGCGTGGTGGTCAGTAGGGCCCAGGCTCCAGGATCCTGGCTCTGCCACTCCACGTCTGTGGATTTTTAACAATTGCCTCACCTCCTCCTGATTTGGGTTCCGTGTCTGTGAAATGGCCATGATAAAACAAAAGTGCCGTTCTCACGGGCTGTTGTGAGGACTGGAGGAGTTAGTGCCTGTAAAATGCAGAGACAGTGGCTGGCAGATGGTAAGCACTCAGTAAGTAAACCTAACAGAGAACTTATTAAAGAATCATCCATTCTGAGCATCCAAAATTACTGACTAAGGAGTAACGTTAGTAGATCTAGCTGAATTCCAATAAACTTGGCCTCTGATTGCTTTCTATTTTCAGCTGTCACTGCTTCAGAGCCTGGAAACGACAGCCCCCCAAAGTAATGATACTTAGGATGGACCAAGATCCCCATGCTCACAGAGCTCTCTTTTCTATCTTTCGGCTGTTTTAGAAATAAATAATGCATATATTAGGGATGTAATGGCCCTTGGCTTGAGCCTTGGTGCTCAGCCCAACTCTGCTATTTAACTTCAGCTTTGCTTTCAGCCTTAGGAAGTCCAAACAACCCAGTGATTCGGGAGCGACATTTCTAGAATCCCTGAGAGGCTGCTGCTCAATGATCAAGTACACGCACAGCTTCCCAAAGCATCCAATCAGTGTGACAGTGCCGATAATCGGAATAACTGTGGTATGGATGTGTTGTTATTATCTGAAGATACTCTTTCAAATATAATTAAGCATTCTAAATATAACTTGAAGGCAAATCTCCTTATGGACTTCCCACGTTCGAATTCTGACAATCAAAAGTGCTACATAAACTTATAATTGCCAGAGTAAATGCAATATTCATTAATATTGTGAAATCTTTTCTCTAAAAGAAAGTGTTTTAAAAATAAATAAAGACAGTGTTTTAGAGAGTTTATTTTATTTAAAAAAATTTTTTGGGGCGCCTGGGTGGCTCAGTCGGTTGAGCATCCGACTTCAGCTCAGGTCACGATCTCATGTTCCATGAGTTCAAGCCCCGCATCGGGCTCTGGGCTGATGGCTTGGAGCCTGGAGCCTGCTTCCGGTTCTGTGCCTCCCTCTCTCTCTCTGCCCCTCCCCCGTTCATGCTCTATCTCTCTCTGTCTCAAAATAAATAAATAAACGTTAAAAAAAAATTAAAAAAAAATTTTTAATGTTTATTTTATTTTTGAGGGAGAGAGAGAGAGAGAGACAGAGTGAGAGCGGGGGAGGGGCAGAGAGAGAGGGAGACACAGAATCCGAAGTAAGCTCCAGGCTTCTGAACTATCAGCACAGAGCCCAACGCAGAGCTGGAACCCACAAGCCGTGACATCATGACCTGAGCCAAAGTTGGACACTTAACCAACTGAGCCACCCAGGAGCCCCTAGAGAGTTAATTTTAGAAAGAACGTTATATATTTTGGAGCCAAAATTTTTTATAAAAATTTAATTACTAACATAAGGTAATAGAAGAATGATTATATCATGATTCCAATATTTTCAGAATTGTTTGTCTCGATTCTATCACTAATCAAAATAATCTGTAACAACTGCACTTGATTTAGGTTTTAAAAACTTCTCCTTAAGACCAGAGTCTTTTTTTTTTAAATTTTTTTTTAACATTTATTTATTTTTGAGACAGAGAGAGACAGAGCATGCACAGGGGAGGGTCAGAGAGAGAGGGAGACACAGAATCTGAAACAGGCTCTAGGCTCTGAGCGGTCAGCACAGAGCCTGACGCGGGGCTTGAACTCACGGACTGAGAGATTATGACCTGAACTGAAGTCGGACGCTTAACCGACTGAGCCACCCAGGCGCCCCAAGCCCAGAGTCTTTAAAAAAAAAAAGTTCTGTGTGAAAATCCCTTGTATCTTCTGAGAGTGATATAAAAATCATAATGTCAACTTTGCCACCTCATTTCCACAAGGAAAAAAAAATTCCAAAACAACATACAGTAACTTCATGACAAACTATCCTTGATCCAAATAGATACACTAAAATGTGTCAACAGTCGAAAAGAAGAATTAGAGAAAAACCAGGTATCCCAAATACATTTTGTTCCTTCTAATAAACTTAAAAATAGATGCTGTAAGAACATTTAGAAGAAAACAATTCTTTATAGATTTGAGCCCGTAGAAACTAAACATTAAAATATAAAGCTTGGGGCGCCTGGGTGGCGCAGTTGGTTAAGCGTCCGACTTCAGCCAGGTCACGATCTCGCGGTCCGTGAGTTCGAGCCCCGCGTCAGGCTCTGGAGTGATGGCTCAGAGCCTGGAGCCTGCTTCCGATTCTGTGTCTCCCTCTCTCTCTGCCCCTCCCCCGTTCATGCTCTGTCTCTCTCTGTCCCAAAAATAAATAAACTTCGAAAAAAAATAAAAAAAAATATATAAAGCTTGCCAAATGTTTGCTGCGGTGTGACAACCATTTTTTGGTAATTGAAGATATGTTTTTATGACATTTTCCTGGGTACACAGCTCCTTTGAGAAAAGTCAGGACTGAAAACTGAATTCTGTTCTGCCATGCATAAAAGATTGACGCCATGTGTTCAATGTGCTGGTGACAGTCTAGTCTCAGGAATATGCAATGAAATGACTACAAAAGTTGTCACAGATGACAACATTGACTAATTTTGTTCCTACGCTAAAGTGTCAAACTTTAAAATATTGGTTACTAAAATATTGAAGGGTAAAATTATAATCTTAATTAAATTTTTGATAACATGTCACTGATTTTTATACTTCAGAAGTTTAATCTGTGATGGTGATATTCAGCTTCTGTTTCAGCTTTGAGTGAGTTTGGAGCTCTCCCTGCTTTGGCTGAATATGGTTTTTAAGATTGGGTTATTTGGTGTTTTGCCATGATATGTATTCAGTGTGGTGGCCAAATGTAGACAATGAAAAAATAATGCATATTTCCATGCATGTAATTTGACTTGCCTACAGTTTCTTTTGATTTTTCCTCACTATGTCCCAAATCAATATGGGTTGATAAGGGACACTAGCCTGTAACAAGATGAAAATATTTTCTATATATATTTAAGAACTCTAGGGGCGCCTGGGTGGCGCAGTCGGTTAAGCGTCCGACTTCAACCAGGTCACGATCTCGCGGTCCGTGAGTTCGAGCCCCGCGTCGGGCTCTGGGCTGATGGCTCAGAGCCTGGAGCCTGTTTCCGATTCTGTGTCTCCCTCTCTCTCTGCCCCTCCCCCGTTCATGCTCTGTCTCTCTCTGTCCCCAAAATAAATAAACGTTGAAAAAAAAATTAAAAAAAAAAGAAAAAAAAGAAAAAGAAAAAAGAACAAGCATTGGCAAGGATATGGACAAACTGGAACCCTCGGGCGTTGTTGGCGAGAATTAAAAGGGCGCAGCTGCTGTGGAAAAAAGTATGGTGGTTCAACAAATTCAACATAGAATTACCATACAATCTGGCAGTACCAAAAGCATTGAAAGCAGAGACTCAAACATATTTGCACACCTATTTTCATAGTAGCATTACTCACAATAGCCAAAAAGTAGAAGCAGCCCAAGTGTCCCCTGATGGAGGAATAGACAAACAAAATGTGGTACACATACACACACACACCCTCATATCCTGGCCCCACACACAATCTGGGTGGCTCAGTCAGTTAAGCGTCCGACTTCGGTTCAGATCATGATCTCCTGGTTCGTGGGTTCGAGCCCCGCGTCGGGCTGTGTGCTGACAGCTCGGAGCCTGGAGCCTGCTTCTGGATTCTGTCTCTCTACCCTCTCCCTGTCTCTCTACCTCTCCCCTTCTTGTGCTCTCTCTCTGTCTCTCAAAAACAAACAACAATGTTTCAAAAAATTAAAAAAAAAAAAAAAGGAAGGACATTCTGACACAGGCTACAACATGATGAAACTTGAGGACACTGTTCGAGGTGAAATAAACCAATCACAGAAGAACAAACGCTGTACGATTCCACTTATATGAGGGACCTAGAAGCAGAGTCAGAAAATAGAATGGTGGTGCCAGGGCCTGGGGGGGAGAGGGAAATGGGGAGTTAGTATTTCATGGTAGAGACTTTCCATTCGGGAAGATGAGAAAGTTCTGGAGATGGATAGTAGTGATGGTTGCACAACAATGTGAATCTGCTTAATGCCAGTGAGTTACATACTTTAAAATGGTATATTTCATGTGATGTATATTGCACTGAAATAAAAAGTATTTTGTATTTAAAAATGTACATATTATACATGCTTATTTGACTACAATGGGCAGGGCGAGGACAAGTTTCTCCAGAAGAAGTAAAGGGGGAAAAGAATATTGATCAAGGTGCTTTGACTTTGCAGATAAAGCATTTTCCTAGTGCACCAGTAGGAAGTGGAAAGAGGCATTTCTTTGAAAGATCTAATGTCCTCCCCCCTCCGCCCCAGCCAGTGGGCCAGGGCCCAGGATTGGGAGCCAAGCTGGGACAAATACACTACTTTACGTGGTCCAGGATCAGGAGGTCTTGGGAGGATACACTCTAGAGCTTTCAAGTCCCAGGGTGAAAAACTGGGCACGTGCCAGGCTCCCATGGGCCTCGATTGGGTCAAGGGGAGAGCGAATTAAACCCGGAACTGGATGGGAAACGGCAAAATGAGAGGTAACAAGCCCAACCACATCTGTGGTATAGGTCGACGTATTACTTGACTTTTTTCATCATCCTAGAAATGCGGAAGATACCGCCGTCAATCCTTGGAAGGCAGCTGGGGTGCTGTGAGTAAAAAGGACCTCATCAAGCATTCAAATGGGTAGGCATGTCAGACAGGTTGTTTCTTATTACCTATATAGTCCTATATTCGGATGCCATTCGTCTTAGTGATGGATAGAGTCGCTGATCATTGATCCAACTGGAAAAGCATGTGGAGCACCTAACAGCTGCTAGGGCATGACTGTTACATGTACTTAGCGTGGTTAGGGAGCAGGGCTGCCCTGGAGGCTGTATGGATCCCACCACATGAAAGCGGAGCCTGGGAAAGGCCCAGTCTCCCCTGTTCCCGGTATTCATCCCCTCGGCTTGTCACTGGAGTCTTCTTTCCCGACTTCCCTCTGGACGGATGACCCGCTGGTTAGTGTCCATGGCTTTGTAAGTCACCTCTCCAGGATGCTGCATCTTGGCTCTATGCAGGGTTCCGGACCCAGGCTCTGAAACACCATATGCTAATCCAGACCAGCATGCCCGGGACCCCATTTACCCTTCCAGGACAGGATTTAGCATCACTTTTCTGGTCAAATAGCATGAGTGCTCACCTTTATCTCAATTTATTCTCAGGAAGTCCTGGCTTCAGATGGAGGCAGATGTCCAAGCACTCGGCTACTACGTAAGTGTCATTCACTCATTCAGAAAAATACTCAGTGCCTTCCGTATGCCTCGGTGATAGGGTCCTATAGGAAAAACGTGTTCAAGGAGCTCACAGTATAGGGACAATAAAGAGTAAAACAATTGTAATGAAGTGCATTAAGCGCTTTGATGGAAGGTGGCAGAAGGTGGACTGGGAACAGTCGGGGTGAATTCGAAGAGCCTGGGCCAACAAACTGCTTGCTCAGAGGTCACAAGTGAAGCAGGCCCCTGCAGCGGTGCTCCGGCTTATGTATTAAAGAGCAGTCAATGAGGCAATGTGGTTGCCCCCATTTTACAGAGGAGGAAAGTGAAGCTGGGAGACCCTTCGTAAGTAGCCCGAGGTCTTGTTGGCTGTACTATCCAGGTCCTCGAGTACAACTGGCATTGGTCACTCCTCCAGGAGAGCATTGCCTGGTTCATAAAGGCAGTATCACGTCTTCCTGCCTCTCCCAACAAACAAGACGTGGAAAATAACCCACCTTTCGGATTTCCCCAAGATTACAAGCTCGGAGGTCAACAGAGAGCTGTAGCTATACCAAAGTTACACAGTTTCTTCAGAGTCACATATTTTAAAATTATTTTTAATGTTTTATTAAATTTTGAGAGAGAGAGACAGAGCAGGGGAGGGGCAGAGAGAGAGGGAGACACAGAATCCGAAGCAGGCTCCAGGCTCTGAGCTGTCAGCACAGAGCCCGACGCAGGGCTCGAACTCATGAACTGTGAGATCATGACCTGAGCCGAAGTCGGACACTTTAACGGACTGAGCCATCCGGGCGCCCCTAAAGGACATTTAATAACTATGCCTGCCTGAGTGCAGAACCGCCAAGTGCCCAATAAAAGAAGCCTTTTTCCTTGCCTTTTGCGGCTTACAAAACCCCTTTATAAACTATCTCACTTGTTAATCGAAACAGTCCTGTGAGATCAAAGGCCAGGTGATCTGCCAAATTATGGAGGACGGGCCTGAAGCTAATTAATTAATTTAAAAGAGGTGCTTTATTTTATTTTTTTAGTATAATTTCTTGTCAAATGAGGTACTTTATTTTAGAGTAGGCTTAAACATTATAAAGTATGTACACAGGCAATGCTGAAGAAACAAGGAACCTCGTAATGTTGAATTTTTAATAATTGTCATTTCTTTTTATTAAAGCTTTTTAAAATTTTTTTAGAGAGCGAGAGAGAGAGCACAAGCTAGAGAGAGGGGCCGAGGGAGAGAGAAATCTTATATAGTCTCCATGTTCAGCATGAAGCCTGACACGGGGCTCAATCTCCATGAGCCTGGGATTATGACCTGAGCCAAAGTCAAAAGTCCAACGTTCAGCTGAGCCACTGAGGCACCCCAAATAATTGTCATTTCCAATTTTCAATCTCTATTTAAATAGTGCACATGGCCCCATTTACGCATATACTATTTTAGCGTGATTGCCACCAACGTGCTATCACATCTGCCTTAGTCCAGAGGACTCGCACAAGAATGCGTGACCAACTTTTGGAGCACATTCACTTAAATTGTATTTGTTGACTAAAGAGATGTTTATTTCAGAACATAACGGATTCCAGCGAGCATGAGATTGAGAAAATTATGTAACTGACATGCTTTGGTTGACCATGAATTCAAAATTTTTAGTGTTTATTTTTGAGAGAGAGAGAGAGAGAGACAGAGAGAGAGAGAGAGAGAGCACAAGCAGGGGAGGGGTAGAGGGAGAGGGGGACACAGAATCCGAAGCAGGCTCCAGGCTCCGAGCTGTCAGCACAGAGCCCAACACGGGGCTCGAACTCACGAGCTGCGAGATCACGACCTGAGCTGAAGCCAGATGCCCAACCCAATGATCCATCCAGGTGCCCTAGATGACCATGAATTCAGTTGACCCCCTTGGGTTAGGTCGTTTAGCTGTCTGCTGAGCAAGTTGCATCATCCTTATAACAGTGGTTCTCAAACTGTAATTTGCTTGGGAATACATGAGAAGGCCTTTCAAAGCAGATTCCTGTACCCTACCTCAATTTAGCAGGTCTAGGGTCAGCCTGAGAATTCCCATTTCTGACGTAGCATCCTGATCAGTGCTGCTCTCCTAGACACCTCACTTTGAAGGCCACTGACACACCTAAAGCTTGTGGGGAAGGCATGTGCTAATCTCACAAATTTGCATTAAATAACAATTGGTTCTTTCAGATTTTCAAGTTTCCTCTTCTCAAATAGAATATGTATCACACAGCCATGAAAATGTTTTAAAAGATCAAAGGGCTGCACCTTGAGAGAGATTTTAAAAACTTCATGTATAAGAATGTATGATTGTTTCCATAGAAGACACCTTTGAATTGAAAGGAAAGGGGGCGACAAACCAAGGCCTGTGTTCTCAATCCCTGAAGACCCTGCTGAGAAGCCCGTGGACTGGCTGCAAGAGCAGGTCAGGGTCATGTGACCAGCTCCTTCTCCTTCCCTAACCGGCAGCCATGTTTACAGCAATCCACGAAGAACGCAAAGGAGATTAAAAAGACAGCAATGAAAAGACTGAATTACACTTCTCAAAAGCATCTATATCTCTGGGAATCCTGGGGTGACATCGACCATATGGTTTTGTAAAACTCTCCATTTTTACAAAATTCAAGAACAATGATATTGCTCTTTTTGGTAAAGGTTCAAGGGCAAGACTCGCTGTACCTGAATTGAATCAATCATTTGTGGCGTATGTTCTTGAGTCAAGGGAGGAGAAAACTCCCTGGAAGGTCCCCAAGGTTGCTTGTCTTGCCTTTAATTAAAGGTTTTTGTTTTGTTTTGTTTTGTTTCCCTGGGAGTCCTATAAATCGGGGAATGGGGCTGGGCTATCTGCTGTTGAAACCAAATGAGCAACCTACCCTTCTGCCCGTATGTAATAAATGCAGAAAATATGAAATGTAGGGTTGAAAGGATAGCTGGGACCTAACTTCATCTCTGCTATCTATCAGCTGTGTGATCTTTTACTCACTTATTTAGAATACATATCATTACCAAAAGCTCCTTATCTGCCAGGTACATAGCTTATACAAAGGACTTTGTTTCTGTTGTAAAATAGGGATCATGCTAACCCACCTCCCTGTTGTGGGGGGGGGAGGGGAACCACACCCCCAGAACCCCTGGGGACTCTGGATCTATGAGGTGTCTTCTCTCTGTCCCCTCATGACGAGCCACCCCACCAGAGCCACTTCTGGCTGATGCGTTGTCCGGTGAGTGTGGCCTCCCTCGGTGTGACTTTCCAAACTTCTGTTTTGAGGGCCAGATGAAACGCGAAGAGAAGTGCCCGGCAGCCGCTTTCTCAGCTCTAAGACACCACACACGTGAGGCCACGGTAAAGAACCTCACGCACCTAGAGCACGCCACAGGCAGTGGTAGGCACGATACATACACCCGCTTGGTCCACCTTCACACGTGCTTCGTGCAATGAAGCAGCTTGGCATTATTTTTTGCAGTCCCCACAAAGCCCCTAACAAAGTGCCTTATGCTTAGCGGGAGCTCAGCTGTTTACTGAAGTCAACTCAGCACCCTCAAATCGAATGCTTTTAAGCAGTTATTGTCAAAAGGAATTTGCAACTGTTCTTAAGAAGTACCCAGTCGGGGCGCCTGGGTGGCTCAGTCGGTTGAGCGTCTGACTTCGGCTCAGGTCATGATCCCGCGGTCCGTGAGATCGAGCCCTGCATGGGGCTCTGTGCTGACAGCTCGGAGCCTGGAGCCTGCTTCAGATTCTGTGCCTCCCTCTCTCTCTGCCCCTCCCCCGCTTATGCTCTGTCTCTCTCTGTCAAAAATAAACATTAAAAAAATTAAAAAAAAAAAAAGTCCCCAATCATTTTCTTTCCCTGCCCCCACCTCCCCCCATATCTGAAAACAACAAAAATCTCTTGAGTTAAGCCTGGAACGGACATCTTTCATCTCATGCTGCCTCCACCTTTAGAGGTTCAATTACAATTTACCTCCACAGAAAAGAAGTAGAGGCACAACTGAAAAGAAAGATGTGGAAGGCTAATCCTTAAATTCCAGAAATCGTATCTTCTCAGTAAATTCTTTTGTGATCGTGGTCAACTCAGCTGATTGGAGAGTAGCTGTAATATGCCAGATTGCAAGTTTAATCCCTATACAGGCTCCACACTACGCAGTAGCCACAGATGCTTCCTCACCCCAAGCAGCTGTTGGCCACTGAAGGTGCTGGGCCAAACTTGAGCCTGCAACTGAGTAGACCGCTGTGAATGTTTGGGAAAAGGATCCAAGTTCCTTTTCCTGGTAGATCCACAGCACTTTTCATTCTCCTTTATTTAATAAGCTGATGAGGACGTGAGTATCTTCCACTAGCCAATAGGTTGACCAGCCTTGGAGATAGTGCAGCAAAGAGATAGAAAGCCCCTTCTGATGTGAACCTATGTGAGCGCTGACACCGGCTCGAGCGTGCCCCAAGTCCCCATTAACAAGGTATTTCCTGCTTCCTTAACTTCCCCAAACAAAAAAGTCCTAAGTGGATAATTATTATGGGCAACATTTCCGTACAGAGAAATCAGGGTGATAGAGTGGAGCGAGGACATATTTAACCTGGATATAACCATGTTTTAACATCTAATTTCCAGGTTACTGGAAATACAAGAGAGAAGGGCCGGTGAAACATCTTGAGAAAACAGAATTCTAGAAAGTGGGCGATGAAATAGGACAGCAGGTCACTTCAACAAGTCAATGTCAAGTTTCAGAGCAGCTGGGGCGCCTGGGTGGCTCAATAGGTCAAGCATCTGACTCTTGACTTCAGCCCAGGTCATGATCTCATCACAGTTTGTGAGTTCGAGCCCCACATTGGGCTCTGTGCTGGCAGAGCAGAACCGGCTTGGGATTCTGTCTCTCTCTCTCTCTCTCTGCCCCTCCCCTGCTTGTTTTCTCTCTCCCTCTCTCTCCCTCTCTCTCTCACTCAAAATAAATAAAAATTACCTTAAAAGAAAAAAGATTAAAAGTAGCAGAGGAGTACTGTTCCAGATTAAAAGACAAGGTTAATTTCTTTTTAAGCAACCAAATGGAAAGCGTGATCTCAAATAGAATTTGGTTTGAATAAGTCAGCTGTCAAAGACAATTTTGATGCGGTTGGGAAAATTTGAATATTGGCTGGGTATTTGTTGATGAGAGGGGAATTAGGTTTGGAGATAATACTGCTACAGTTATGTAGGAAAAATATCCTTATTTTTCAGAGGAACATTCTAAGTGCTCAAAGATGAAATGACATGTCTATAATAGAAAACTTTTCAGGAAAAGATGAAGCAAATATGTCGGATATTTACTGTTAAATCTAGTTATTGGGTAGATGATACTACATTCTTCTCTGTACTTTTTTTATTTTGAAATTTTGAAATTTCCTTATTTGTAAACCGGCGATAACAATGAGGTTGCACGAAATTGAATATGCATGTGGACGTACTTCCTAAATGGGCAAGGCGCCCGCATTTTGTTCCTTCTTGTTTATACGCCTGGCTTTTTAAAGACTTGAACCCCGGATTGCATGGCAGTTCATCATCTCTCAAAGTGATGTAGGTGCTTGTATTAATCCGGGTTTTCCAGAACCGGTAGGATGTATTGAGAGACAGAGACAGACATTGACAGAAAGAGGAAGATTTAAGGAATTGGTGATTGTGGAGGCTGGCAGCCTGGAGACCCAGGGAAGGGATAATGCTGCAGTCTGAGTTTGAAGGGAGTCTGCTGGTAGAATGCCCTCCTCTCCATGGAACCTGGGTCTTTGTTCTATTAAGACCTTCATCTGATTGAATGAGGCCCACCCACGTTTTGGAAGGCAATCTGCTTTACTCAGTCTAATGATTTAAACGTTAAATCTCACCTTTAAAAAAATTCCTTCACAGCAACATCTAGAATGTTTGACCAAATATCGGGGGACTCTGGCCTAACGAGGTTGACACATAAAATTAATCATCACAGTGTTTAAAAAATTTTTTTCTCTAATTTCTTTTTGAGAGACAGAGTGAGACAGAGTGCGAGCAGGGGAGGGGCAGAGAGAGAGGGAAACACAGAATCCGATGCAGGCTCCAGGTTCTGAGCTGTCAGCACAGAGCTGGATGCAGGGATCACGACCTGAGCCAAAGTCTGACACTTAACTGACTGAGCCACCCAAGTGCCCCAACCATTACAGTGTTTAATAAAGAAGTGATTAATGAGAGAGATATGTAGTGTTTTGCTCTGTCGAATTCTGTGCAATTACAGAAAAGCAATGTGTTGTTGGTGCCGTTCTGAGTCATTCGAAGTCACAGCTTTCCAACTAGCAAGAAATATTTAGGGTTTTTTAAAAAAAAAATGCGTCCAAATATAATTGGTATCTTTCCTATAACTTCCTATGTAAAATTTACCCTCAACCAAAGTATAGTAAAGCCGCCATTTCCCACAACAGGAATGTAAGACCCATGAGAATCTAGGCCTTTCTATCCCTTTACTGCTGTAGCCTTGGTGAGTAGGGCAGTGCCTGGCCGAGGTAGGGCATTCAGGAAATATTCATGAATGAAATCTGTGACGATGGAACTGAACAGATATCGAAAGTACAATTAGTGAAGCGTGATTGGGATATCGCATGCGTGTAGTCTATGATAAAATTTAGCATCAGTCCACATATGGAGAAGAAACTCCGATTCAGTTTAGTTTGACACATTTCACTCCTTGCCTGGACATTTGGAGATCAGGTTTATTGAAGTAGCAATTGTAACAAAATATGAAGACCATGTGCAAATGTAGTTTCTATGGAATCTTTCGTATAGATGGAATTACATACTGAACAGTGAAAAATGATTTAACTTTTTCTAGTGAGAATCCTCAGTGGAGCCAGCCTTCGGGCTTACGCGTGGGCAGCTGTCTGGGGAGCAGGATGGCCTTTCCCCGAATATCTCCCTGTTATCTCAGGACATAAAATACCTGAAGTGCCTCAAACTGGGGTGTATTCCTTTGAATCTTGAGGGACTTTTAACTTCCAGTATTCTCCACCCACACAAATACCTCACAAAGGATCTGTTAAAGCTGTTCTTTCAGTGCTTTGCCGAAGATCGAGGAAATCTATCAGTCAACTCATCAGTTGGGAGATGTCCCGTGTTTCTTTTCCTTGGTGAGGGCTTTTTCCAATTTTGACAATTGACAAATACCCATAACCAGTTCTGCCCTGATAATTGTAGAGGAATCAAATCCCCTGAACGCCATAGAGTTTTTACTTAGGGTTTTCCGCTCCCCTCCCCCATACATGGAGTTAGATTTACATTAGAAATAATCTTATTGTTTCCACATTCATGAAAGGGAAGAGTAACAACTGTGGAATGCTGTTGGATCTTCCTGCTGATGTGGTCTTTGTGGTTGCTAGGGTACTCACCCATATGTTTATACACTTATATAAAAATGACCTAAGAAATGAGGAAGGAGCACAAATACTTCAGGGATTTGGTGATCATTTTCACAAGCCTGCTAGATTCTTCTTTCATCCGTTCTTCCCAAGTCAAAACCACACATTTAACAGAAAATATGACCGCGAAAGGTCTACAGCAATTCACAGTCGTAATGTTGGATTCTGATAGCAGGTTTGCTCAAATGATACAATTATATGAGAAAATGTAATTAAAAAAAAAAAAAAAGACCCAGACCTGTTGGAAGAGTTTAAGCCTCCCCAATTGTCTGTTACCGTCTGTTATGAATGTATCTACTTCCAAATACCTGTCATTGAAGTTATGATACACAAGAACTTGCATTTTGACTAGAAAAACTGTTTAGTTCTTTTTCTCAGTTACAATTTTACAATAGTATATTAGTTTTAAGGTCACTCAAGATACAAATGGATTATCAGTGATAAAGTCGTATTCTCTGAGAAAAAAATTTCCATGCCTTAATTCTATTTCTTTTGGTAACAGAGACATTGGAAATGAATGGATTGCAGTGAGTGCCTTATCTTTGATACAACCAGAAGCAGAATAATAAAGCGGTCTCTGGGGGCAGTTCTTAACCACACATCTCCCAGGGCTGCAGTGGAAATTAAATGCAACAAAGTATCAAAGTTCCCAACAAAATGCCTGGCATATTTTAGACACTCTCCCAGTATTAGTTTCCCTTGCTTATCCTGAGGGATTTTTACATTTGTATATGAAAGATTGGAAAAGGAAAATGATGAGATAGATGGGAATTTTTATGAATCAGGCACAATTCTATCACAGGTCAGGCAGTTTTCCTGTGTTTCTATTTTAAATCAGATCAAATCTGTTAAAATGTTTTGTGTGATAGGACTGAAAACATTTCCCTCCCTCTTCTTTTTTTCTTTTAATGTTTATTTTTGAGAGAGAGAGAGAGAGAGAGACACACACACACACACACACACACACACACACAAGAATGTGAGTGGGGGAGGGGCAGAGAGAGAGGGAGACACCCATCAGAAGCAGGCTCCAGGCTCCAAGCTGTCAGCACAGAGCTTGACATGGGCCTTGAACTCCGGGGCTTCGAGATCATGACCTGTGAGCCAAAGCTGAACACTCAACCAGCTGAACCACTCAGGCGCCCCTTTTCCCTCCCTCTTCTAAGAAGGCCAACCTCTTCTCAGAAAGTACAAGTTCCTTGTAGTGTTAAGATTGTGTATGTATTGCCGCCCTAAGATAAAGAACAGATTACATGCTACATGTTCAAGGGCACATCTAGAAAGCAAATGTGCCTAAACTCAGCATGACCAACGTTATTTGCTAGGCAAAAACACAACTGTTTCCTCCTCTTAACTGGTATTCAGCTGTTTTGAGAAATGATCTATTTGAGAAGTCTAATAAATCACAGGTTTATGTAGCCATCGTAAGTCAACCAGATTTTCTTTAAAAATGTAAGACAATTTTAGAGCAAAGTACCAGAGTTCCTTGTTATATATTCATACTTACACAAAGCCACAGGTATTTGAGGAAATGTCTTGCGGTTCTCTTCCCACACCGTGGCTCTGGTTCTGATGGACGTGTAAGCTCTTAAAAACCCCCTCTGTGTTCCCTAACACTTCGTTTCACTAAATAAAGGATTGAAACCTTATTGGTGAACATGGTTTTGCCTCCTGTTATAGAGACACCGAGCTCTCAAGTGTCCTCTCCTTCACAAATGACCATTGTTCCTCGCTGACCAGCCCCCAGCCTCTGCATCCAGAATTCAGGCCCAACGATGTCAGAATTGTGCTTGGGGGTAGTTACCTAGGTAATTTCAAGATACCCATCTTTCAGAATGTTGCAAAATGCAAGTTGCTAATGTGAGATTCTCTCAAATAACAGATAAAAAAGATTAGGCGAGATGCCACTTGTCTCAGTTTCTGTAAAATAAAACCTAGGCACTGTCGCAGATGAGAGACGGGCACCAACATGCTGTCATTTGGGATGGCAGAAACAAGCCATTTGTGTCATGCATAAAAGAATAGTGACTCTTGTCCCTTGAAAATGTGTGATACTGTTTGGCATTCTCAACTATCTTTGCTGCTTTGCCGTCTGTATTAAATTTTTTCTTTGACCTATTGCCCTCACTTACGCATCCTTGTCTCTTTTAAACCCGGTTGATAACGGTTGTTTGCACAATTGTATCAGTTTTTTCTGCTCCAATTACATTAATAACTGAAGGCTGCAGAAGTCCGCCAGGCTTGGGCACCAAGGACAATTAAGTTGTTGGCTGTCTCTTGTGCCTCATTTGCTCCCTTCCAGTGAGAACGTAAATGCTTGGCACTAAGTGTGCTCCGGGAAATTCCAGGCTTCTGTCGAAGACCATTAGGCTGCGCCATGGGTTGCCGTGAAGTCTCAAAGTCTAGGGCAAATAATATGAATAAGCAACATTACTGCCTCCCCATCTCTTATCAGAAAGTCAAACAAGGCAGCTCAGCATTGACAATGAGCCGTAAGTGGGCTGGAGGAACTGAAGGGGCTGCTGGAAATGAAGGGGGAAGTCACCGCAGCTTGTTTCCAGTCTCCTCCTGGCGCCTAGCAGATGGCAAGTTGAACACATGCAAAGGGAGAAGGGCTTCTGGGGCTGGGCCACCACTTCTTGAGACCCTAGATCCATAGCTCTTTCCAGGCGAGGGACTCTAAGAAATATACAAAGCTGGATGCTCTCAGATGTGCCAGCCCCGTCTGGAGTATGGGCACGGAGGGACAGGAGGGTCGATTGCGAAGTGTCTGGGGTAGCTTGGACTCCACGCCTGTTGCAGCGAGTGTTTACGATGATACTGCGAGGAAGCGCCCTCTCCAATGATTGGACAGTGACGAGGGAGTTGAACCTAAGGTTCAAGTAGCAAGTGCAAGTAGCTTGCCCGAGGTTGCAGACTTAGCAAAAGTGGCAAGTAAGATTTTTAACAGAAAGTGCCTGATTATGAACCTTTAACACCTTTAATCGCGAGGAGCAAGACTAGGGGAGTGGAAAGAGCCGAAGACCTCAGATAGACAGAGCGCAGACGGCGCTCCAGTTCCTCCGCCATTGTCCTGCCTTCGGGGGGGGGGGGGGGGGGGGGGGGGGGGGGGGGGGGGGG